CGGCAAACAAATCCGTGAAACGACTACACACGTGCGTATTTGTCCGGCTCGCTGTCCGTGCTCGTCATCCTGATCGACGGATGGCGAGCAAGATATGTACGCCGAACACGCGGATACACACATACGAATTGATACGGATCTGTCCCGCGTACATGTCCGCCGTACAGATCCGCCGTACATATCCGCATGTGAATGGGACCTTTAAAAGACACGTGCGTATTTCTATTAGTTTGATAGGTGAAACCGAGGGTGAAACAGAGGATTGCTTCCAGTTTAGGGATTGAAGTAGAATTTTGTATGGTTGCACGCTTTTTAAATTGGGTCATCCATTGAAGAATTCATAGAATATAAAGTGGTCCTTAAACACGGTTCTTACTTTTTAAATGCGTTTGAAGTCTTGGGGCGTCAATGAGTCGAGGGATATAACGTGGTTGGGAAAATTTTGTTCATTTTGCAGTTGTTATTGAGGCTATGTAGCGTAGGTTTTGGAATATTATCGGGAAAAATTCCGAGTCGAGTTGAGCTAGGCTATAGCTGTCTCAATAAATTTAATTGGTTGTGTAGAATTAGTTTGCGTCCGGGAATGGGAGACATACAAAAAACTTGTGGGAATTTGAACCGCGAGGGAGAATGCGCGTTGAACTGTGAGCAAAGTTAAGTCATACACCTCGAAATTAACGCGTGCTCGATTTGTGTTAGAAAATTCACGTGGGGCCGCGAGCAAAGTTATGTTAACCACCTGTAAACTTATTGTAGGGTGGACCACCTTACTGGTCCATTGGTAACTATCCAATTTTCTTAAAAAAAAAACAGTTCCGTAACTATTCTCGAGTTAGGAGGTGGTGCACCATCTTGTTGAAACATTATATTCTTTCTCTCTACTAAGAGAAGATCACCCACAAAGTTCTCAACGAGCCAGTTTATGATATCATGGTATCTCTCCGAGTTGAATTTCCCTTGGAAGATCTCATAAATCACGATTCCGAAAGAGTGCCCACATCATACACGAAACCCCCGAGCTAAACCCAAATTAATCTCTTTGTTTGAATATCGACAGATGGATATGAGGATTGGCATCTGACCACCAGTTGACGTGGTGCCTGTTGCTACACTATACTAATATGGACCTCATCTGTCCAAATAATGTCCCTGTAGAAGTATGGATCTCGATGGCAAAATTCCAGTCTTCGCTCAAAATCGGCCGGTCACAGTTATTGTTGTTTCTGTATGATGTAAGGTCTGATGTGTGTTTTTTCGATATAGTCAACTCCTACTCCTAGATATTCCGGATTCAGATCCGATTTGATATAGTGAGATTTGCTATACTACGGCTCCAATGACACTAACGGTTATGTTCTCTGTATCTCGAATCATATACTTTTTGGGCCTTGGCTTCTTAAATGCTTCGATTTTCTTTTAATCTCGTGAAAATCGATTTATAAGGTTGCCGTCTCTCTGTCTATTAATTGAATTCAGATGCAGATACTTGTTGTTATTATGCTAGATAAAACACTCTAACATATCATATTTTTTGGAACCTTCAAAAGCCATTTTTCACGTTTATTCTTATCTAAAAGTCGAAAAATGACTGCACGTCACTTTGGATTTCAATATCAATTTTATTTAAAAACCAGTAAAAAGATTAATAACTACCGTATTTGCCATGCATTGATCAGTAGGTACTTCCCAAAAGCCCATAGCTATGTGATTTATGTTTTCAAGTAAGCAGCATCTATGGTTTGCAGAGAAATCTCTCTATAAATAAGAAAGTTGGCATTGCACAATCTGCGCATGCGCACATCTGATTTTTGCAAACCTAAAAAGCATTATGCGGATCACTCTGTAATTGAGCGCAAGCCTGTTGAGGGCCCAGAACAAAAGAGGGATAATAAATAAAATAAATAAAAATGTGTGTTTGCCTTTACTAAAAGCACCTGTGGTTAAAATATCAAACAATATACTTAGCTCTATGAGTAAGGAAGTTGACATTGCGCAGTTAAACGCATGACACATTTGATTTTTATATATGCGCTATGATTTTCTTTACCTCCTAGAAGCATCTATAGTTACAATGTCTATCAAGGTGGCATTGAGCAATCGGCGCATGTGCACCTGATTTTTACAATATGCGATATGTTTGGCTTCACTAGAAACGTCTGTGGTTAAAATATCGAAAAAATAAGAATGCACGCGCACGTTAATCGTCAAGATTTTACTTAGCTCAGATGACAAAGTTATAATTCAAAAAGAATGAACTAAATGACTATAAACAACTGTAGGGGTAGTTAAGGCCTCGAACGGACTGCGAGATCAATTTTTTTACCATTTCTAGTTTAACAGTTATCCCATACTAACAACCAAATTTGGACATCCTGTGCATAACTCTGAAAAGGACCCTTCATGCTTCCAACCATCGATATGTACTCCCTTACTAGTTACTATCTTGTGATTTCGAAAATAAGTTATCCTTTTTCTTAGGCGCAGTATTATCAAACTTATGGCACAATTTAATCAAAATTACCTACGGTCAGTACCTCTAATAAAGGCAAACAAAAGACACGTACCAGAAATCGTACTGCGCATGCGCAATATGAAACTCTTTTTATGGACCAATTTAATAGAATTTTTTATGGTAAGTCCGTCTACCAAAAACAAACAAAATGCACGCATCCACAATTGTACACTGTACAGGGTGAGTCAACGATTGCGCAGAGTAACTTAATGCCTTGAAGATAAGATTTTTCGATGGAGTGCTTTTGTATTATGATATGGTTGAATTTTCTCCACATTTTAAAAATATTTGGAATTATACAGGGTGCGCCCACAAAGCAGGTCTCCCAAATGGTACATTTTTTTAAATAGATTTTCTGTCATCGTTTAGCTCCTCCAAAATCCTTCAACTTTTGATAATAATGTCCTATACCTATCTCTGATAGTTTTCGAAATATCTTGGTTTTCCTGGGTTTTATATTCTAATTTTAAATAAGTTATAACGGGCGATCAAAAATGAGTTGCTGTCGAGTCACCTTTGGAAGTTTAAGTTAAGTATGATTTCCCATGTAAATTCCAAGGGTGACTCAACAGCAACTCATTTTTGATCGCATTGTATGTAATTTACACAATAGTGAGATGGCCATGGAAAAAAAGGCAATTTTTATCTATCTCGTCCAAAACGACAATCATATCGATTAATTTATTTTTCAAACAATTTATTTTAGGTCCAAAAACTGGAGAATAAGTAAAAACATTTGACTACAAAGCAAATTTAATTTAACTCCTAATGTCATCCAGTCAGTGATATTAGTTTAATTTTTTTTTTCATATTCACCTGGTTATTATGTAAATTAGAACTTATTTCAGATTAAAATTTAAAAACTAGGAAAATTTGTTGATGTTTTTACTATCAAATTTATTCTCCAGTTTTTATAGACTTAAATGAATTATTAGAAAAATGAATTAATAAACATGGTTTTAGCTTTGAACGAGGAGATAAAAAGCAATTTAATAGAAACTCTTATGGGAGGTTTCCATAATTATTTAGTTCCCTCCTACTTTACGCATCCACGAGCACTTTTAAGCATGTAAGTACTTACCCACCAAATTCTGTGCTCCATCAAAAATGTTTTTTTTAACTTATTTTGAATTCGTTGTCATGTTGAACACCCCCTTCTCAGACACTTCGGTGACAAAAATTATTTGGGGAAAATCAGAAAGGGCACACATTTTTGGGACATTTAAGAGATTCAGTTCTCAAACGAAAGATGTGATTTGAAAAAACATTTTTATATTAGGTAGGTATATCCTGTATACTGCTAGTTGCTGATTATATACAGCACCAGCAGTCAGCACGTCCAGAATAACAGGACCATAGCATGACCGTGAAACATTTTACCTCATAGCATTTTATTTTCGAGATATTAACCTCAGACCCTAGCTCAGACCATTAGAAATAGAGATGATACAGAAATTCGAGAGTAAAATCAACACGTATTTAAGTACCCAAAAACTATCTAAGGGTGGAATTCAAAGATATTACTTAAGTTGGACTCACACTTTACCTCGCATTTTACTAATTGCACACTTATTTTAGTTTAAGTCGATGTGGATGATATATTTACTGCTCATATTCCTACTTAACTGTCCGTATTTCGCTTTAGGTGTCGAGTCACCTTTGGAAGTTTTGTTTACATGGGAAACCATATTTTAACTTGAACTTCCAAAAGCGACGCAACGTCAATCCCGAGGTCAATCCTTTTTTGATCGCATGTTAGCATTAATGCGCATGCGTCAGTTTACAAATATTTCTTTCATTACCAAAATATTGCCAAGTACCCCTTAAGTAAAGTCATTCTAAAAGAAGATCACCCTAAATTATCTCAATCCTTTTCATAGCTAACTTTGTTACTAGGAATGCATAATGCACTCTTTCTATAAATAAGTACTTATCTTATCATTTCAACAGAACTTGTATATCTAGCAGTCCTAACTACTTCAACTCTCAAAATTTGTTGCTCCCTCAATAGTTTTTAGCAAATGCAAGACATTTTGGATTCATGACAACAGACACTTTTCCTTAGTACCCCCACATGTAGAATGTGGTTATGACAAATGTATTAATCATACTGCATTATCATTCAAATGTTTGATTCCATTTAATGTGTCACTAGAATTTGTGTCTCCAGATAAGCTGCTCTGAATTGAACCTGAAACGATGATCACATCAATGCAATCGATAACCAACATTTTAATCACAGTGTATCCCTGATTACACTAACAGCTGTACGAGCAGCTGTAGTATAAACTGTGATAAGATGCCAAGCAGGAAGCAAAGGTCAAAAGGTCCCACAATATCAGCTCGGCTCGTTACATAAAATGTGTGTGAGAATCTTTTCCGGTAGAATGATGGCCCTACAAGTTCAAAGCACTTTTACTTTTTAAAAACTTAATTATTCTCAAAAACACCTCCAACCTTGACTACAAGCGCATTTCCTTTGTTACAGCTTGCTCGTCTGTCCTACGGTCGATTGTAATCGTCGACCTTCTCAGTTTGGACAAACTAACAAACGCTATCGGGATATTGCTGATGTTTCAAGGAATGGCATCCCTAATCGGTATGTACATCGCGGGACTGTTAAGAGATACCAGTGGAGATTATCAGATGTCATTCTACTTTGCCGGTGGATGTGTCCTCGTTGGTAGTCTACTGCTGGTACCGATCAAGAAGGTGGCGGAATGGGAGAACCGAAAATTGAATCGTTAACCGTTAATTTGTAAGCGAAGTAAAATTTTTAGAGTCATGTTGATTGGCAATAAACGAAATTTGGCAACTGTACCTGAATGACAACAAAAACAATATGCAGGTAATACGTAGAAGATGACCGGCGTTATTATGTGCGTTGTCAGCAAAATTTACTATCGCTAAATAAAAGGGTTAATAATCTTTACCTTCGTAATTATTGTAACGTTAGTATTGTCGTTTATGACAGGAGCGCCTTTTACGTCCCTTTTATGTCTGTGATTATACAAGTCACTATCACTATCCGCATTAATCACTAAGGTCTTTCTCTCGTGATGCCGCGGTTCCTTTATTCCATACAGCCCGTTTGTATTTACTAAACAAAGATTTAATAACACATAGATAAGCAAGGTAAACGACTGCGCCATTTTACACATAAGGCATTTGGCTCGCAACTGAATCAAATGAATCAAATCGTTTATCAAAATTTTGACGAATGACGTTGGTGGGGTTTGGACAGGGGCGGCTTTGCCACTATTGCCCAGTCAGTGGCGTGACAACGTGTTCGTAAGAATTTGGTTTGGCCACTTATAACCATTGTAATCGTACAAATGTGATTGGTGAAAAAATGAAAAATTAGCAGGTACATTAAATAGGTAGGTATATGTAATAGAGACTGTAGTAACAAGTCTCTGATATGTAAGTATATGATGTTTTCATTATTTATTTATGACTTAGGTACATCGTTATCAGTGATGTTTGGAATTAAATATAATTAGACATAAATAATTATTAATTATCAGAAGTGTTTGTAAGATAAACTAATCCGTTCTTTTTTTCATAATGCGAGCGACCTTCGGCACTCCAACCCAACTCAGTAACTCTAGAATTTTTCCAAGACTTCCTAAGTTTAGCAAGTGGTAATTTACTACCCGGTGCGATGCGTTTCTATGCTACTTCAGACGATGGTGTGAAGTTCAAAAAAGTTTGATTTGATCGCCAGCCATCGCACATATCGCAAGTGAAATGGACATTGATTTTATTTTATTCTCAATATAATTGAATGTGTCTAGTGTCATCCAAAAATAAACACGACATATTTCAGGTTCCGCCATCAATTTTGCAAGCAGGTGAAGAAATTCACCAAACACTGTTCGCTTCATATTGATGGTATTTACCAATAGATGTTTACAGTAAAGTTGAATTCTGTGGTTCTAATTTAATAAGCGTATACCCGAAACCACAAAACAAGTTTTTGTGCAGTAAAAGTAAACAATTCAAATTTGATGTTTTGACTCCATTATCAGTAAGATCGTGTGGGGAGCACCCATTTTCGACGACGGACGACCGCCTTGGAAAAAGTGGCTAATTTCGCACCTAGGAAAAAAACACGCAGGAGTTGTGCGCGTTTACAAGGTCTTTCCGGCGACACCAATATATGAAAACAATCGGATCCCAAAACTGTAGAAGATAGGGAAAAACTGGAAAATCTCCAAGTTAGCGTAACACGCTCGGGAATGGCGCCCAGATGTCGCCGACCCGACATCATGTAGCCCCATCCCTAAACTTGTTAATTACACCCCGGTAGGTACAGTGCACACTCCTCGTTTTTCTACAAGTATTCTTCTACGGGCTTGCATTTGCCGCCAGTCAACCAGCCGGCAGGCCAAAGTCAGATTAAAAGCAACCTTTTAACAAATAAATTTGCAAAAATTCAAATTGTGCATGTCTGTGTCTGAATATGTCGAATAGACAAAAAAGAAGCAGTTAGGTAAAAACGTTTAGAGAAATTCGCAACGAAATTGGAGTGGATTACGTGACAATTTTCCCATGGATTTTCGAAACTACATGTTCGAGAATGGATTCTGAATCATCATTCATCACATTAATTTTCTGCAGTTTAAATTCCTACATTTTGCAGTGTTCCAAACGTGCATAAATAAAACACCTTGATAATTGGCGTAATTATTCAACTCCAAGAAAACGCAGCGCGAAAATACTGCAAGACAGACACAGTGTCACATCTTATAAAGGAGTGATATTTAGCAATTTAGCATTCAGTGTTTATTTTTATATACTAAAATATTTACAATGCATTCAGCATTAGCATAATAATTGCAATTGCAACCTATGCTTAAAATAGTTAATTAACCTAGTCTACTGATAAAATAAGTGCAATTCATTTTTCATATTGCTTAATGTTTGGCTCCCACTCTGCTGTTTAATTTTGATATTAAGCACAATATTCAAGCAAGTATATAAATCGCAAGCAACACCATTGTAGTAGGTACCTATACAATATACGGTGCACAAATATTATTATGTGGTTACATTTGTAACACGTAACACAAACCCGTATTTTGTTATTTATCATTCCGACATCGATGTTAAGACTACACACAATCCAATTTGCTTATAGGTTTATTATACCATGCTTATAGGTACCTATAACCATAGCCGTCTATAATTACAAGCCGTGCTGAGAATTATGACAACACTGCATGGTAGGCCGATTTCCTAATTTAACTTGACAGATTTTGGGTGTATTTTATATGTGTTTTGGGTGTAATATTCCAATTTACCTGTTTTAACAGAGCGAGATTGCGACAATTTGTGTTACTCCCTACGGAACAAACAGAAATTATTGTTCAGGTAAGTTGCTAAACGAAATATATCGATTTGTTGTCATAACCTCTAAAGCAGGCTACTCCCTACTGGACCCTTTACAAGCACTTGTATTGGTTCAAAGTACCTGTACAAGCTCAAATATGACCTACACACTACGTGGTACGTAAGTACGGTAAGTGTTTATCGTGAAAAAATACAATTAGTTTGTATTTCAGGTTTTCTAGCACGGACATGTCAAATGGATTTTCTGAAGGAACCTTTCAACTTATTCCCAGGAGTTCACGGTACGGGAATTTGAAGTCTATGGGGCTCCCCTCTTTAAAAGCTGCGTACCAAGACCCACTGGAGTAGGGACTGGCTTAAAGTCTGCCATTCCGAATCACATCTGGTCGTTGATAAAACCTCGCTGATTCACAGCGATTTACTGTCCTTTTGCCGAAATTAAGTGCTCAAGCGTGTGCTTCACTTCGACATCTTTCGACAGAAGTTCACCAATTTCGGAGATCTCAATGGAAAACACATTATGATGCAGTTACCAGTTTACAGCGTTCCGAATTTTAAAGTCAAATAAAAATGTTATTATCCATTTTTGTAAATAAGTAAATAATATATATGCACAATTTTAAGCTGCTTAAGTATCTTTCTTCTATATTAAAACCGCCAAGGCGAAACACAGGAGAGAGGAAAATGCCATTTTTCAGGAGCAACAAGACGCCATTAAAACTTAAATCGGCCCACCGATGGACTTTCGAACAACGTTGCCAAACTTCTCAGCATGGCTTGTAATTATAGACGTCTGTGCTATAACATAAACGATAAACGGATAAACCTTTTAGAAATCTAAAAGGCATATCATATTTCTCAGTCACATCTGCTTTTATTTTTGTGGGGTGGGGGGTTTGTGGGGATTCAGCAAGAAAAGAACTATCTCAAACGTTCGCTAATAGATTCCTACGAGTCTATGGAGTAGTGGTATTGAATGTGAGCCAAATCAAATGTCGAGTTGGATGTAGGGTTTCCAGATTTCTTCCTACTCAATATAGGGAACTCTGTACAATAATATGAGTTTCAAAAAAAATATATGAGATTTTATTATGAAAAGAGAAACAAAGTTATATAATTTAAAGACTATTATAATATAGGAACATCAGTTATGAATTAGGGATCGGCGCGGACTCCTTCGAAACGTCACGGACGAGCAAGAGCTACGTATTATAACCGATAAGGCGTGTGCGCCTTGCTTTGGTAAGTACCATGCAGAGTTAGTTTGAATTTTAAATAAAATTATATAGCAAAACAGAATTGTGTAAAAATATGAGTTTTTGTCTCATATTAAAACTCTCAATATGAGATAGGAAACTTCTTCATAATATATGAGACTCATATTAAATATAGGGTATGGCAACCCTAGTTAGATGGAACGTCAATTGGATAATTGCTGTTCCCTCCGTGACCATAAATGCGCAAATCCATGGGAAAATATCAAAGTTGGGATGCCTTTGCGCAGAAAGGGAAACTTATTCAACATTGTTTTTCATTTCGTCCACCCTACACGTGTTGATAATAAAACCTATTAAATAAACAAAAAACGCAACTTTCTACAAGGTCTCAGTACCGAGGACAAAAACCCACAGACGGACGGACAGAATTCACGCAGGTATAAAATATAAAACTGTATTTTTCATGAAAAATACGCTTTTAGACGAAAATAAAGAATAAATGAAGGTTTTGCTTAACCAAAAAAACAGCAGATCGGGAGAACTCGCAACCTTTAGTTTTTGTGCATCATGTGTTTTGCCACGAAATTGGGAAATAACTTAAAAAATACGTGGAAATTAGCGAACGACTACTCATATCGAACATGCTCGAAAGTAAAGAATTACTCTCGGAATTACTTTTTGCTTTTAGCATAATATCCGACCTCTCGGACCTCCTTCGGAAATAGATTAAAAGTCGAGTCATAACCGCAAGCTTGGTAACAAGTGCCGTCGTGACTTCTTTCTAAAATTCAACAAGACGGTGCCGATACCACCACATATCACCATTGAATAAAAACACTATTTTATTCAATGATATCACTCTATCATATCAGAGGAAGACACCTATTTAACGATTCCTTTACTCATGGACGTAGTTTTCTTTTTCTTTTCAAATTTCACCAGCAATGCCTACCTGAAATTTCATTTTATGACGCTAACTCCACGTATCCTAGTGTACATACCTACAAATCACCGTATAAATTATCGTGAGTTAATATTTCGAAATACCTATATTCTTTAGCGTAAGAATAAATCAAAATTCTCTCAGTCCGTCTCTGTGTTAAAGAGATTATGATTTCATGAATCATTTTAACGGACAGTTCCTTATATAAAAGTGGTGCATGATTAATTTCCAAAACATCCTTTTCCAAGAATTTACAAAGTCATATTTTTATATCTTTGGCTTGTTCAGGAGTACAGTAACTTTAATTATTAAGTAAACATGTGCTCTGGACCTCATATGCGGGTTGCGGAAGAACTTTTATTAAACAATTATTTCATAATAGGCGCTCGTAATAGAATAATTTGAGATCTTCTGTCACAAAAACTCTATATAATACCTACACATACTGACCGCCAGACTTTCACATTTTAGTCCAATTATTTTATTTGAATCATTTTAGCCTGACCGATTAAAGTTAATACCTTCCACCATTATTTGCATATTATTCAGTTTTTTTTATCAATGTAAATACCACAAACCGCCTGAATGTATGAATCATGCGGTCACATGAATGTAAATAACTATTTCGTAATTGCATGTAGAAACTGTTTCCTTTATGTTTATGAAAATCTGCTGTCGTACGAATTTGAACCATTTATGCTGTTATTTTAAAAGCAAAGCAAGCAAACTAATTATCAAGTTCGCACAGATCATATTAAAAAATGTTGGCAGAATATCCCACTCCTCGGATAGGGAACTGGTTCCTCGTTCGGAGTATGACAGTCTATACAGATGCATTAGCAGATCAACTGATCAACACAGCTGGACGTACCTAGTGTTATATAGTAATTCACTTGTTGGCATACCTATCGGATTGTCTTTTCACAATCATTAGTATTAGTAGGTATACTGCAAGCAATTTGATATATGTTCTTTATAAAAGAAGAACAGGTAAAGAAAAATTAAATTTCGAAGAAACACCATGTAACCAGTTACAAAACATATTAAACATGATGCTAATGGAATCGATAACAACTATAGACAAATTGAGATGCGATCAGAAAACACACAAAATCAAAAATTACATCAAAGNTTAATTTTGGTGCGTAGAATCCAAAACAATTCGTACTTTTTCGATCAGACTTCTCAATCAAAAGTTATAGACTAGAAACCAATTTGAAAAAAATTCAAAGGGCTGTAACTTTTGAACTAGTAGCCCAATCTTGGAACTGTTTGAAATTATGGATTCTACAGGCCACATTCTATAAGCAAATTTTTTTTCCGGGTCGATCTGAGAATTTTTTTTTCGGGGCTCAAAAAAAAGGCAGTGTTTCCTTTTTTACCAAAAATCGACTACACCAAAATTTCTTGGGAAAACACTTTTTCTTATTAATTTGGGTGCGTAGAATCCAAATCAATTCGTACTTTTTCGATCAGACTTCTCAATCAAAAGTTATAGACTAGAAAAAAATTCAAAGGGCTGTAACTTTTGAACTAGTAGCCCAATCTTGGAACTGTTTGAAATTATGGATTCTACAGGCCACATTCTATAAGAAAATTTTTTTTCCGGGTCGATGTGAGACAATTTTTTTTTCGGGGCTCAAAAAAAGGCAGTGTATAACCTTCCTTTTTTACCAAAAATCGACTGCACCAAAATTTATCGGGAAAACACTTTTTCTTATTAATTTTGGTGCGTAGAATCCAAAACAATTCGTACTTTTTCGATCAGACTTCTCAATCAAAAGTTATAGACTTAGAAACCAATTTCGAAAAAAAATTCAAAGGGCTGTAACTTTTGAACTAGTAGCCCAATCTTGGAACTGTTTGAAATTATGGATTCTACAGGCCACATTCTATAAGAAAATTTTTTTCTCCAACCACCTGAATAAGACGCTATTTTGTGACGGTGTTCGGTACGTAAAATTGACGTTTTGCGGATTAATCGCTTTCACCATGGCAACTGTACAAAAAGTAGATACTTTTGGTCCTAGTACCAAAAAGAAATTGACCTTGAAAGTTGGCCAATTAAAAAATTACAATCACGGAGATATGTCACATTGACATCGTTTTACATTGCAGGTTATAAGATATTTCTATACATACAAATCAAATCTTTTTGCATATTCAATGCAAATAATGATGTCACCTATACGTATGTACATGTATTGAAAATGATTTACGCTCGCTATTTTTATTTAAACCATGTGTAACGTAATTTACATATTCGATGAACGTAATTTTAATACGTATACAACCCGCCGTCGCGCGTAACGCCATCTACTTCAGACCCCTTGCACTATTATCTGTCATTTTGAATTCAAAATTTGAAAAAGTTAATTGCAATTAATTTTAATTAAAAACCTGTACGGTAAGTTTTTTATTTCAATACAAAATATAACAATATTAATTGTGTATACGATAAAATGACTGAAACTGATAGCGACATGGATTGCACTCCGCCAGAGATTATAGAAACGGCAGAACATGCTACCTCAAGATTTGCTCCCTACAAAGTCGCGAGAGGTGAGAAGTAAGAAGTCAGAACGAATAGGTTATAAGTTAACCTAAAAACTAGAGTGGCATGACACGTGAGGACAAGAAAGCAGAAGTTCTCAAACTAGTAGTGAAACTGTGACTGAATCTAAATTCGAATATAATTTGAAGTAAAGGGGTTGGAGAAAAAATTTTATGTTTTATTCGTACAAAAAATGCGTTTTCGGGACTCGGAAGGTTGCTGGACTCCGCTAACGCGTCGTCCAGCAACTATCTTCCTCGTCCCGAAAAATGACATTTTTTGTACTAATGAAACAAATAACTATCTTTTTGTTTTTTTTTTAACGCGTCGTCCAGCACTATCTTCCTCGTCCCGAAAAACTGACATTATTTTGTACAATGAAACAAATAACTTATTCTTTTTTTTGTTTTTTTTTTACCACACAAAATCCTTATAAAAATCGCAATATATGAATTCAGTGGGCGGAAAGTGGAAGTAGAAGTAATATGAAATTAAATTTCTAGATTGTGTTTTGGCCGCCGTTACCGTAAACAAAAGCGGCGTAATTATCTGTCTTGCTAACGAATAGGAGGGGGGGATTAAATATTTAGTGTTCCAGCTCCTTTAATAATTATGGCAGTTTTTAGTTTCCCATGGTAATATGGAAACGAGCATTAAAACTGCAAAGGCCATGCCAGGTTTACGCCGGTGTCACTTCGCGATCAGGACCTTTTAACCGTGAGCTGAGAAAATTGCAAAGGACCAACGGGGGTTTAATATTAGAATTATGAATTTAAAAATATTATCCCGGCGAATTAAGCAAACGCAGCGGTAGCTATTCATAAGTGCAAAACAGCATTCCGATTAGGACATGAGTGGTTCTCAAAAGAAGCGTTCTAATTAATTTGAATTTGGGATGTTTAATATAAAAAAGTTTTTAAAGTTATTTTTTTATCGCACCAATTATAGAACAAGACTGACAGACGGAACGGACAAAAACCATCAACATACAGGGGAATTTTTAACCTTCCAGTTACGATGATGAGAGTATGAAAACTAAGAACACATGCACCCTGTGTATAAAGTGCATACGCCTCAAAGGTACAGCAAATTAAAGCCACATTTCTTGCTACCGCTCGCTAGCAGGAGAATAGCCACAGCATGTTTTTGGCTGAAACATAACCTACACCTTTTTAAAATTTGGAAATAGAAACTATTGTTTTAAAAAAAATAGTGCTATGAATATCAACGTTTTGAGAAGTTTCGAAAAAACGATATTTAATTTGTGCAATATTTACCGTTTTACATGCGTGCGTTCATCCACCAATGCTTCCATTCGGCACCCAAAAATTGAAAAGGAAAATAAATCTTTAACCGAAGACTTCGTTCCCAACACAATATTAAACAAACGGATAAAAACCGCACACGATTGGGAAGATGTGAGGCACAAACTTTTAACTTCTAGTAAACAAATTTCGCAAAAAACGATCGATTCTATAATATTGAGTGTGTGTATATCGGCTAAGAATTATGACCTCGGTTTTGCATACATTGACTTCCTGAAGCAACAAAAAGTCAATTTGGGTTTAGCTACAGTTGGGAAGTATTTTAAATTATTTTATTTAGCTAATTGTGGAAATGCGGCGATTAGGAACGAAGACGAAATTTATAGTTTGTATGTTAACCAATCAAATGCAGTGATAACTTATCAATTCTTTCAGATATAAATCGATGAGGGCACAGTTTAAGGTCTTTGATGCTGTTTCGTGCGAGAACATCATTCATGCCCTTTCAATTACTCGCTACTGGCGAGAATGTCTGCAACTTTTGGATGAAATGAGAATAACTTGTGATCCCAATAGGCCTACTTATAGTGTGATAGCAGCTGCTTGTTTTCGAAATGGAGCAGAAGATCTGGGTTGGCAATTTTTAAATGAATGTGCCAGTAAGTATGTTTAATAAAATTAGCGAATATTTAAGTAAAAGTATTGGGTAGATAGCGGAAATCCTCCACTAAGTGTGGCATACTTAGCCTACATCGATGCATATGAACACAACGAGCCTCTCAAACGAATGGAAGTGCTGTTTTCCTTTTTTAGACAGTACGAGATTGAGTGTGATATACAAGTGGCAAACAGGCTGATCGGCTTGTACCAAAATTTAAACTTGAATGCAAAACATACAAGTTTCTATAATAGGTTTGCGTCCAACTGGGAAATTTTAACAATGCTTCATTTGTATTTTTCAGTGCCAAGTGTAAAAATTGTCGTACTACGCTTAGAAAATCAGAACTGACCGAAAGTGAGTTCGAAGCACTCAAAGATGCAATTTTTAAAAACATAATAGTGGGATCAAATGTCTTTTATAAGTCTACACCTGCAGAATTAGAACAGTTTAAACAATTTACGGCTAACATGAAAAGTTATGACGTAGTTATTGATGGGTTAAACGTAGCCTACACTGTGGGTACAAAGCAGTCACCGCATGTGCTTTCATTTTTCGTAAGTTTTCTAGGCCCTCAAAGAGCTAAATTGTAGGATAGGCAACTTATGTGACAATACCTGATCATGTCTTTGTTAAAGTTTGTTTTGTGGAGGGGATCAAATGTGCATACTAATTAGCTTTTGCAAAGTAAATACAAGAGTGATCATACTACAGAAAAAGTAGTAGAAAAATATACCAAAGGTTATAATGCTAAATCGTTGTAACGGGAGCCTGTTAACGTATTTTTTGTTTCAATTATTTATTTATTTTTATTATACCTGCATCAGACTCGTTGATTAAAGTATCCCTGAGTATACGAAAAAAGGCGATTAAAGCATGCAGGTTGGTAAGTAATGTTCTCAGTAATGTTACTTCAAATATGACATACTCGATGACATATGAAACTATGATCTAGGGCTGAAATAAAAAAATCTTCTCAGGGTCGCTTTCTGCAAATACAGAAGATGTCTTTAGCGTGTATCCTTTGTGAAAAGCTTTTTGAAGGTGTCAATTTTTCTTCTGCTACTGCAACAAGCCACTGAATGAACGGTGTTTTCAACCGAAGTAATTTTATTTACAAAGACGGTGAATGTCGAATGAGTGACATTTCTATAGCAGTCATGGGATTACGATTAAGTAGCCCTATTAATTAGACATGTATTTGAGTATAATAACGTCAATACAATTTTATTTTGTCTTCCCTATTTTTTACGTGTTCAACTAATCAAATAGGACTGCCACCATAAAATAATCTCTAAGAAATTACAAACGCCGCCAGTCACAATTAGACTTGATACCTACTGCTAGCTTCCATGGGGCTGTGCTACACTGTATAAGAAAGAAACCACAACGAAAAAGCTTAAACTGCAAGACTAGTAATGGTACAGACGGACAAACTGCGGACAATAGCGTTCATTTTCCTTTTGGGAAATGAGCTAAAAGTAAGCACATTTAATCTTCTCCACATAGTCAGTCAGTGGAATACTGTCGATTGTTTATCCTACAGTGTTGCTATCAGAGAGCTGTTAATTTTACATTGCAATTGTAGGTGAAATCGGTAGTGAAACACTTTGTAGATCAAAATAAAACTGTTCTGTTACTCGGTAGAACGCACATGAACACTTGGCCAAAAAGTAACTGGGCGTACGTAACTGAACATTGTGACACTTTCCTAACTCAGTCGCTGTCGCAAGATGATCCTTACCTTCTGTATTGTGCCCTCCATTGTGGTGTTAATACGATTATTGTGTCAAGGGATCTTATGCGTGGTCATGTCTTTAAACTTGCGGATGTAAAATTAAAAACGTCATTCAACCGTTGGCTTGTACAAAATCAGTATCAGTTGTTGTACGTTAACAGTCAGGGGAAGGTGAATTTTAAGGTAATGAGGCAGACAAAATATGGTCGTTTACATTTCATGTTTTTAGTATCCCCTTCCCTATACTAGGAGTGCACAGATGTCAAATGGTATTTGGCACCTTCCATTAGCTGATGATGGGGGAAACAGTAATATGTGGATGTGTTTGACAAGTAAAGCATCCTAATATATGTAGTACATATGTGTCTTACTTTTGAAAATTCCATTTTGATCGTTTACCGTCCCCTGGATTTTGGTTCAATTTTTAGATTCTTAAGGGGGGGGATTGGAATCCGAGCCCAGTAATGGCGGGTCTAGCGTATATTTTGTTCGTTGTGTTTTGAAAAGTGTAGATATTTATAGATCATTTTATTCTTTCTTGTACTAAAACTACCTTGAAAACGCACAAAATTGCACTTTAAGCATGCTATTTGGGCTCGTATTTGGGAGTACCACTAGACTATTCTTGCCATTTCCTAACACAACTTTGGCACAAATGCTCCACAGTTACATTGTAATAGGTGGTCACTTTTTAGGGTTTTTGTTAAATTAACAAAATTGCTAGCATAGGAAATGTTATGTGTCCCGCTTCATAATGCAAGAGAACAGAACTAATATTCGAAAAATAAAATACCAAGCACATGACGAAAATACAGGATTTGTATTGGTTAAGAGGGCTACGCTTCCAGAAGAATTGCGTTCAGAAAAAGGGGATTCGTTTCGTACTTGGAATGGAATCCAGCGTGGTATTTAAGTAAAAATCTGGTGGGAGAACGGAATTCTTACTAAAATTTTGGAAAATCCTATCCCGGTCGAGCGCTACTTTTTTCGATCGCGTATTAATTCTTTGGCCGAACCTTCGGTGCATATTTACATATTGTGAACGCAAAAGAGTTACAGATCACGTAAAATTTCATTAGCAATTAAAAGTCATATAACCACAGTGTGTGGGAGAATCGTTGTCCTCGTAACCGTAGACAGTGTCGCCATTCTTAACGTGTTGACCGGTTGCGTTCAAATTTCGCTACGACTTGCCAGCAGAAATAACACTTGGCTGGTTTATGCAGCAAGAGAACTTAATTGCGTATTGATACGCAAGCGAACATTTTTCGTTTCGGTGCATATTTGGATCAAGGTGTACGTGTTTAAATAAGTTGTTACTATGAAAGTGTTTAGGGTCTAAGGTGCAAAACTTTCCATTGTGTCAGATTTTTAATGGCCAGTTACATAAAAACTAATTTATTAATCAGAGTTGTGCATCCAACTTGTTTATATGAAGTGCGAACAAAGCGGCTACCGGTAAAAAGGGTAAGACAATTAATTCAATTTTCTGTTTGCTAAAACCCTAAGTTACAGGGTACATTTATACATTGCGGAACATCGGTAATTTATTACTGTGAATAAGTCAACGTTCAGCCAATTAAATCAAAGTAAGCCTGAAACACGGTTTATTCCTGAATCAAATTTCGTGTGCTACCTTTCGATATTAATTTTCAACAAGCAACCCAATTCAACCGATGGTACAAGAGGTCCATTCGAATTGCCTAAGAGGTTCCACTATCCAATTTTCCAAATTGCTGCTGCAGAAAATTTCAACGCATCGATAAAAGTAAGTTATTTTGAATTTTGTTTAAAAATAGTAGTCGGCCGTTTTAAAGGATTTTATATAAAAACCAATTTTGCTAGAATTAATTTTTTTAATTCCTGAAGAGGTCGATTTACGCGGGTTTATTCCGAGAACAAATTTGTGTAATTCATTTATAAATGATAGTACACTCAGACCAAAGATATTGGATGATTACGATATGTAGGTATTAAAAATTTAATTTGTATTTATTACATGAAGTTCTTTTAAATCATAACCAATTTTTATTTATTTTATTTTATTATTTTTATTAATATATTAAAGCAAGTCAATTTATACGAGTATTTGAGAGTGATCAAACCAAAGCATCAGGTTTTCGAGTTTCAGTTTATAAGAAGTGACAAAGAACCAACATTCTGCAAGGTAAGTGTAATGAAAGGTTTATTTATTACTGAGCTAGCCGTGGTGTTGAGATGTCCGATTTCAAATTTCAAACGACAAGTACCGTGGCGTATACAGGGTGGTTACTTGCGTAACGCATCATAGGGATTTCAATGTAAAATTCATAACATGCGATTATTGGCTCCCCAAATTATTTTAGAACAAAAATGTATTAAAGTTTTTTGTAGACAAAATTTTTTACGCCAATCAACCGTATTAGTTTTCAATTTTTTTCATATAAAGGCGGAAAATTGAAAAAATAAAACCCGCATCTTTTTCAATAATCTGCGATGCTTTGTGTACGAATCTGCCCTTTTAGATAGTACCTAGATGCCGAAGTGAAGGTACTTAGCGGCATTCATCTCGAAATACAACTTTAGTCTAACGTTACCGTATCCAGGACCTTCAGATACCTTCTGGACTGGAGGATGTGCGGCTAATTCACAATGCCTTTCATGTACTTTTTGTAAGAGACTTCGGAATGTTACCCTTCACAAATGGGAGGGGATTGGAGGTACTATTAGATCTACTTCAGCTGGCCTTTCTTTACCTTGATCAAATGTTGTATTAAATTTACGTCAGATTTAAATTACTCAAATTCAAGGGTTCCTTCCTCGGGTGTTAATCTTTGTATATTGTAGATGTGATGTAAAATGTGTTTAGCGTTTTCCAATGTTTCCTCTCCTGCTCCAGATTTTCCCTCTATACCTATTTCACCTCTGTGAACAGTGATTCTGAATTTTCTTCAGCGCGGTTCATTTGTCCGATGGTTCAAGGGGAACGAACACGGCATACCTTTGGCTTTAAATGTATGCTGTCTAAATGTATAAGAACTTTCGCCTTTTTGATTCATTTTACACTTGATCAATTATTCAACATTCAATATTCTTTTGCTTTTCTAATTCTATAAGTGTGTTATTTGCATTCCACCTGTCTGATAAGGTACGAGTGATGCAACCTGATCTTTCATAACGTAGGGGATCCGGCCATAGTTGAGTGTTAAGTTCCTGGTGTTCCGAGTTCGTGTTTTTCCCGCTTTTGTTATCCTGGGAGCTGTGGACTTGAGTACATCACAGTATTAATTGCAAAAGATTATTTCTTACAGTACATTTTTGACCAGTGCCGTAGAAATTAAATTATAATTTAGGAGCGCAGGGTTTCAACCCATATAAGGGAAGTAGCCAGTTACTTGCTTCTTCCAAGTTTTTTACTCCAACCGAGTGAAATATCTAACACCCGCCATAGGGCACATATAGAGAGCTGTATAGTAGTAGAAATTTTATTTTAACTGCCATATAGCTATATTTACAGAAGAAAGTCAAACTACAATGTTTTAGATTTTTAACAGAACACTTTCAATTGCAGTCGTAAAAAAGGAGGTATAGGCAGGAAAAGAACAGTGTTCACACACTTATGACCTCAGAGTAAATTTCTTACTCTGAGCTTATGACCAAACCGCCATGTTTGCGTGAAAGCTGTCCTTTTAAAAATGTATTATTTTTATTATACATTCGTTACTTTTGCGTCTCGTGCGATGTTACTGCAATCTAATTCATCAGAACCATCCGCACAATCGGTGTCACCGTCACAGCGCCATTTGAGAAGAATACATCCACCCTTTTCTGAGCAACGAAACTGATTGACTAAATAACAAATTAATACAGTTTAAAACAATGTTGTTGGAAGTGGTTACCTCCACACGTCGAATTACTCGATGGACAATTTTTCTCATCCGATTTGTCACCACAATCGATCTCGTCGTCACATTTCCAATGCGCGGGGATACAGCGTCCATTGGCGCATCGAAACTGAGCTTGAGCACATGTGGATGGAGAGCAATTTACTTCGTCAGTTCCATCGGCACAATCGGTGTCACCGTCACAACGCCACGCGCTGGGGATACAGAGGTTTCCTTGAGCACAACGAAATTCATTGCCTAAACAAAATTAATCAAAATCAGAAAACAAACACTTTTAGCTCTTACGTAGACAAGTTTTTGATTTATGCTGAATGCAGTTTTTCTCATCTGATTCATCGCGGCAGTCGGCCTTATTGTCACATCTAAACTGCCCAGGAATGCATGTATCATCATCACACGTAAATTGGTCACTTGAGCAATTGGGCGCAGTGCAATTTTCTTCGTCAGAACCGTCGGCACAATCTAAGGCCCTATTGCAACGCTGATCGCTTCTAATGCATTGATTTCCTTGCGCACAGTGGAAATCTCCAGCTAGAATTTGTATTTAATCTAACTATTTCTACACAGTTTACGTTTTTTTAAACCACCCATTTATTTAAGTTGAACGAATACGTTTTCCAGTTACGCATTTAACCTACGTCTTCACCATTTACTAAATTGTATTTTGTTCCAGCGGGGTATTTAAGAAAATAAGACCCGTTTCGTGAATAATTTTGATTTTACGATTTTTCAAAAATTTCAAGTGGGTCACAAAAAGAAGCAACTTTGTCATTAGCGAACTTAAAGTAAGAAAAATCCGGCGCACAGGGTTCAATTCTATATTGCTGTGTAAACAATGCTGGTCTGGATGTTGAGGTTTAGGTCCAGGCATCTGAAGTGAATACGGATCGTTTAATTACTAATCAAATGCTAATTTTAATTCATTTAATTATTCTCGTGGGATTCCTTACGGATAAACACATAACTACTTTGCGTATCTAGCCTGTATCCAAGGTGTTTGCTTATTTGTTTCGTTGAAAAAAAAAGTTCCTAGAATTATTAAGGATAGGAAAATTTGTTTCTCCATTTTTGTTATCAGTTATTTGTTTTGTTAATTCATTTGTGACAGTTTAGATTTGATTTATTAGGTATTTCGTTTATGTTTGTAAAAGATTGATGTAATTATCTAGAGATAAGGATGTCTTTTATTCTGAAAAAAATTGTTTTCGCAGAAAATGTATTTTAAATCAGATAATTCCGCGTAAAGTTTGCGTACATGACTGGAGAAAGCGTTCTGTAGCAACATTTTGATTGGTTTGACAAGTTGCCAGGCGTTGATAATAATTGGTTAAGAAATTTCGAGGAGACAAGTCTGCTTAAACACCGGAAGACGGAATGTTTATTATTCTTTTTTCGAACAAGACAAAAATATTGTAACCATAACCAAATCTACCATTTGGTTCAACCCATCACTTCAATGATAAATATGGAACATGGCGCACATGGATCATAAGGCCACACCTCTTTATACAGTCACTGTAGGCGCTAAGTAGGAGCTAAGTGGAATAGGGTCCAATTATTATAAATAGCCTTTCAATCTCTAAGAATATTGACCCTCAAAAGCAATTGATTGATGTGTAAGTGTATGAACTATGTTACGTAGGTATGTAATTTTTTTCACACATGATTTGTTTAAAGATCGGGATGCCTTTTGGCTTGCGCAATGCACCGTTGATCAATTAACTGAGTTACCTATTCTGTCTAACACCGCTTACAGCTGTGAAAATACTTACATGTGCAGTTTGTCGAGTTTAGCTTATGGACTTCACAGTCTTTCTCATCTGATCCATCAAGGCAATCTTTCTCACCATCACATTTCGAAGCTTTTGGAATGCAACGATTACCGTCGCACTCAAAGTGATTTTCAAGGCAACGGTGCGGGCAGTTTTGTTCATCAGATCCGTCCTTGCAATCTATCTGACCGTCGCACCGCCAATGATGTGGAACACAGTTAGTAATATCACATTTGAAATGGTCGTCCTCGCAATAGATCGTCGGTTTCGTCTCATTTGTTGAACTACATTGAAGCTCGTCTGTGCCATCCGGGCAGTCTGTCCGTCCGTTGCATACATCGGTAGCCTAAATGAAAACGACTATAGCAGACAATATTCATTATTGGCAGGTTACCGGAATACACTTGGTAGAGTTGTGACATTTGAACTCATTTTCTGAACACGAATGGGTTTTCTGGCAGTTATCTTCATCTTCTCCATGCACGCAATCGAGAGAACCGTCACACACCTGGGAAACCGGGATGCAAATTCCAGAGCCACATTTAAAAGTGTTCTGCTGACAAGGTGTTGAATTTAGACTCGTACTAACCATTGGATGTTTTATAGTGCGATCAGTGCAATTTATTTCATCACTATTATCACCACAATCATCTGCAAGGTCACATTTCCACCAACTCGGTATACACTTGTCATTAGAGCACTGAAACTGCCAGGTAAGGCAGGAGCTATTTGCCTAAAAGAATATGTCATATGTCCTAAGTATCTCAATTGCTGATTTTATACATTCTTTGATATCTCGTCTTCTGTCGTCCTATTACTACAAGATGATTCGTCAGTACCATCCGGACAATCGACGCTACCATCACACTTCCATGACAGCGGAATACATGTTTTATCCTTCGTACAAAGAAACTCGTTGGCTAATTTAAAACTGATTACAATTTGAAAACAATTTTGTTTCGTTCTTACAATTACACTGGGTTGAATTACAATTCTCTTCATCTGATTTATCGGCACAGTCAATGTCTTGGTCACATTTCCATCGCCGGGGAATGCACCGACCATTTCCACACCTGAATTCAAAATTGGAACAAGGGTGAAGGGGGCAGTTTGTTTCATCTACACCGTCTGTACAATCCGCGTCACCGTCGCAACGCCATGCACTTGGAATGCATCGATTTTCTTTCGGGCAGCGAAATTCATTAGCTAAACCAAGTTGATAATGTGATTACTCTTTTTTTTATACAATTGAGATATCTGAGATATTAAAATATATTCGAATTATTGACGATCCTCGAGACGCTTATAATTTTGTACTGCTATCTGTCTGTCCGTGTGTACGATAACTTTGTTTAGAAAAGTCCGATCGCTGTGAAAATTGATACACATGTTCTTAAGGATATAAGAAAGGTCACTATTGTTTGTTTTTCAGTTACGTAGACTAACGGGCCAACAAGTTACAGCCCAAAAACTGCCCTAACCTCCAAAAAGGATATCATTCTTGTTATAAAGAACATATGAATGGTTCAGGTTTTCTGCGCCAGTAGATATTCCTTAAACCTCAAGCAACTATGCAGTGCAAAAAAAAATATTGCGCAAGCGCATTCCAACTTTTGTATTTGCGCAATCCCATTTTTTTATTTGTTAAGATATTTAAATGAAATTTTTTATGTAGGCACCTCGAGTAAAAGTAAAACTAATGCCTATTCAAAAAAAAGCTATGCTGATCTGGTGGGAAAGAATCAACCCCTTAAGATAAGTTGTAAAAATGATGGATGCGTGAAGATCTCGAGGATCGTTCGGTATTCAGTTGTATCAGATTTTTATTTTTGTATTTGATATTCTATTTTCGAAGTAGGTATAGGTTTACAAATAAAAGTATTAGAATAGATATTCACATTTCTAAAGTATTCGTTCCAGATAAGAAGCTCTACCGTACTGATACCCGTATAGCATCACAGATGCTCAAAAATCGGAACTAGGTATTTAATCTAAGCGGTACACAGAAAAATCTGACGAATAATGCAGAAAGCATGCCGTTTGGCATGGTCGATTTTTATGTCCAAAAGAACGATTTGGCCCGCAGCACCCCCTTCCCCCACCATGTGGAACCAATATGGCGGCTATTTAAGAAAAAAATCTGTTTCTGACTAAAAAAATATATATTTGTATTTCAAGGATGGCATAATATTGGAGGTCGCTGATTTCAAATCTGAGGTCAAAATGTAATAAATTTAAGTTTTAATTAGTTTTATCCTTCATGGTACTCTAATGAAAGGTCTCAACGAAAGGAATTAATTTCTACCAACCATAGCCCTCCTCCTCGACTTCTTATAGTGATCGGGTATATTCCCTTATGCCTCAAGAACGGATTGTCGGAAGAGGGCACTCACAAAGGGCGATTGAGACGTCTGCAAGAAATATATCCATTGGTGATGTCAAAACAAAAGCTATTTCGGTTAAAAAATGCGCTTTATCTGCACAAGAGTTGGGCACAATGTATACTTGTTTAATTTTGATAACACTGTTTGATTTAACATACGCTCGGCTCAGGCGGCTCTGCCACCTCGACTCGCTCTGATTTGTAACGGTCCATAGCTCGGCTTCGCCTCGCACTTTTCACTGTTCAACAAAGAGAATTTTTCAGTTTCAGTTGTGGTACGGTAAGAAAATGATATTGACATTTTTTTTGAATTTGTGAGTAATATTTTTGGTTTTTTGGAAACATCATCTATGCAAAGTGAGTTTTTTGTGAAATTTTTGATTCAACTTGTTGAATCCAGATCTCCATATAATTGTACATAAGATTTTTTAATTTTGGTAACAATTTTTGGTTTTGATGAGACATACGCTCGGCTCCGGCGGTTTTGCCGCCTCTCCTCGCTCTGATTTGTAGCGGTGCATAGCTCGGCTTCGCCTCGCACTGTTTGCTGTTCAACAAAGACAATTTCTCAGTTTCAGTTTTGGTACGGTAAGAATATTGAGCAGACTGATTTGACATTTTTTTTTTAATTTGTGAGTAATATTTTATTTTTTCGAAACATCATCTATCGAAAGTGACTTTTTTTGAAAATTTCGATTCAACTTCTTGAATCCAGATCTGCACATAATTGTACATAAAGGTTTTTAATTAACACTTTTTGCTTTTGAGGAGACATCCGCTCGGCTCCGGCCTCGCCTCACTCTGATTTGTAAAGGTGCATAGCTCGGTTTCGCCTCGCACTGTTCACTGTTCAACAAAGATAATTTCTCAGTTTCAGTTTTGGTGGGGTAAGAAAGAAAATGATATTGAGCAGACTAAATTGGCAATTTTTTTTGAATTTGTGAGGGATATTTTTGTTTTTTGGAAACATCACCTATACAAAGTGACATTTTTTTGAAAATTTCCATTCAACTTGTTGAATCCAGGTCTGCACATAATTTCACATAAGATTTTTTAATTTTGGTAATACTTTTTGATTTGATGTAAGGGTCCATAGCCATAGCTCGCCTTCGCCTCGCAAATCGCGCACAACGCAAAATTTTTTCTCCTCTCCTTGACCCTCTACGAATTTTTAAACTAAAGATAGTTTTACTTTTCATTAGTAAAATGTATTTTTTTACAAAATCAAAATTCTAATTATTTATCCAACAATTATTTTATGATTTAGATCGACATTAAAACAAAAAAAATATATTAACTGGAAGAGTATTTTTATAATATTTAAATGACTAATTAGAGTGTAAATTGCTTGAATTTTGATTTTTTGACGCAGATTTGAAATCAGCGACCTCAAATTATCCTTAAACGATCACCCGCATGCCATTCTTCAAATATAAATATATATTTTTTAGTCAGTGACAGTTTTTTTCCTACATGGCCACCATATTGGTTCCACGGGGTGGGAGAAGAGAGTGCTGCGGATCAAATCGATCTATTGGACATACACATCGTTTATGGCAAGTGGCTTGCTTTCTGCATTGTTCGTCACATTTTTTCGATTTTTAATATGACTAATTATCCATTCTTTCGAATACATTTCTTTAAAGGAAAGGAATTAAATTTTACAGCGCAAGTAAAAGTATACGAAAGATATGATCCTTGAGCAGGAACAAAATGAGGTTATTACACCGTTCGGCAACTTCCGCATCTTATAACGCACCGGTGGTGGCCGTTTGTTTGCAATACATATTTTGTTTCTTAAGGAAGAAGACCAAATTTCATAGACTCGCAAGCGTATTACAAGTAAAGTGATAAAATGATAATACCGATGATCAAATGCTTCATTGACAAGAACAACATGAGGCAGCTTGGACATATAGTCCATCCGTTATTACTATGTATTCCAATATGTAATTAACCCCACTAAATGCAGCGTTACATTTTTTTTTACTTCACGTCAATTTAATATAAATAATTCTCTCAAACGAACTGCAACGCGTTATTGTTGACGTGCAGAATAAGAATGAACAAAGTAAGGTTCCGCAACGGTTAAGCGATTCTAGCTCATATCGCTTACGTTAAAGAATGTTGATTGAAGTGAATTTCGCTTGCATGGCATTGTATCAAGTAGGCGTAAACAACATTATTGTAAACAAAAACTGGATGCAAGCGAAATTCAGTTCAATTAATATTATTTGACGTAAGTAATACGATCTAGAATCGATTAACTGTTGAGAGAATTGTTTATGTTTAAATCGACGTGAGGTAGAAAAAGTTAACGCTGCATTTAGTGGGGTTAATTACATATCGGAACAGTAATAACAAATGGACTATATGCAATCTGTGTGTCTTTTGGCTTGCACCGGCGCGGGATGGTACTATATAGCACTGATCAGTGCTGGTAGTTTACGATATCATAATTAATAATTATTATATACAATTTTTATGATGTGGTCCCACAATCTCTCGTCCGACCCATCAAAACAATACGACCCACAATCACATTTGCTTTCTACTGAAATGAAAGTATTATCGTTACATCTAAATTGATCAGGCAAACGAAATTCATCGGCTAAACCAAATCAAGTTAAATAAGTAATAACTACACTTACACTTGCAAATCGTTGTCTTCTGTTCACAGTCTGTCTCATCTGATCCATCATCGCAGTCTTTCTCGCCATCACATCTCCATTGTAACGAAATGCATTTATTACTGCATGCAAATTCAGTTTGCGAGCATTCGCGCGTACAGTTGTTTTCATCAGAACCGTCTTTGCAATCTTTTGAACCGTCGCAACGCCAAAAACGTGGAATGCACTCGTCAGTATCACACTTGAAATAAGTGTCACAATCAACCGTTGGTTTTGACTCTGTGTTGTTTTTTGGACTACAATGAATTTCATCTGATCCATCACCACAATCATCTCTACCATTGCAACGCCATTCTTTTGGTACACAAATACCATTGTCGCATTTCAAATGCTTATCAGGACAAGTACTGTCCAATTCAGAACAAGTTTCATTATTGGAACACACACATTGATTCATCTGTAACTCCATACCATCGGGACATAAACACTTATGACCTTGTTCGGGAGTACCAACACATATATGACTGCAGGTAGAATTAATGCAATCGTTAACTCCCTCCTGAAGACCATGGCCAAATACTTTCAAACCCATCGAACGGTTTAACTCTCTCAGCAATTTTATCCCCAGCTCGTTATCTTTGTCGCCACGAAAAACTCCCAATTCTTTCCAATCGTTCCAATATATATTGTCTTTAAAGATTGCAATTGAAAAAGGGTGAGACACGTGGGAATTTTTGCTAATAACTTTCTTAAAATAATTGCCGTGTAAATCTGAACTGCCAACGTAGTCTTCACGCGCATCAATCCAATAGATACGCTCGGCAACGAAATCAATTGTGATGCCGTTTGGCCAATGCACGTATTTTTTATCGAACAAAACTCGTACGTCCGAACCGTCCAAATCCGATCGAGAAACCGACGGTCTCTCCGGCGACCAATCCGTCCAAAATAAGTAGCCAGCAACGGGATGCACGGCGAGTCCTCGCGGTTTCACCAAATGCTTAGAATCTAAGATAGTTCTACGCATGCGGCCCAGGCGATTCTGATCAGTCGTGACCATTTCGATTTTTGCTCTCCGACCATCCACAAAGTAAAGATGCCGCGAAATCCAATCCAAGGCAATCCCTTCGACTAAGGTTAAATTACCGTAAAGAAAAACCTCAGGAGCGTTGTTCGAGCACTGCCTTCCGATTAGTTTGGTACCGATGTCGCTCCAGTACATGCACCTGCTCTTCATATCGAATTCCACGGCAATGACGTTTGTGAGATTTTCGATTGGTAGTGGCTCCCATTTATTGTTGTGCAAATAGAGTCGACTTATTTTTTCCCGTAAAGCAATCAAAAGGAATTTGTCATCTTGCGCGGAGGGACACGAAATTAAATCAGGCAAATACCGACGTTCGGAACCGGCCACACACTTACTTCCCGCTACTTTTTTATAGCCCTTTGTTCTGTTGTAAAATTGGCCATATTGGCACGTAGCCGGAGGGTCATAGGGTTTATCGCTGGTGGTTTTATTGTGAATGCATTCAGCTATGTTGCCGGAGCGGGAGAATCCAGAATCACTACAAAGAGCCGCACTTGATGGACTGTTGTCGTTAAGGTGGTTGTATTTCTTACCATTCAAAATCCGCGGCACTGCATGCGCACGTTTTGTAGGAGATCGGTGTAATTTCACGACGACCGGTGTAGCAATTAGCGTTGGGCTTCTTTCGTAGAAACGTTGCTTGCTGCCCAAGTGTACACGCAACATGGCTGGGTGACCATTCTTCATAATCACTCTAAAACACATTTTACAAATCTCCCTTTTCAAATTATAGCCAACCTGTTCACAGTTATAACTGAAGACCTCCTTCAGGTCGAGTTTACTTATACTCCACCCACGGCCCTCTGCTGGAAACGGGAACAAGATAAAGACGGCTGTAGTTTCACGTTGTTCTGCCAGTAGGCCGTAAACCTGTAAACTTTCATTACGGAATGCCATTCTAGTCCAATTTTTCCCAAAGTTTGTCGAGTACAATATGTCACGTGCTGTTACATTTTCGTTGTATTCCACTGCTGTTAGTAAACCTCCGTAGTTTCCAATTTGAAATAAATGTGCGCTCTTTAACGTTTCATGCCATGTCAAACCAGCATCGGTGCTAATGAAGACCTTAGAATGTCCCTGTGAACAATATGTTTAATTTGGGTTCGTTAACTTGGCCCCCCCACTGAGAGATTTGATAGTCGTATTATTTTAAAATGAATGCGCTCGTTATGCGCTCATATGCGCCACCGATAATAACTCTTGCGCCATTATCGTTTTTTAGAAATCCGAAAAAACATTTGGGGGGGCAAGTGAACGTAGCGTGACTTTTTAAAAATTTGTTATGGCTTAACCGTAATGGCGCTAGCTTTAATTCAAGTGGCGCAATTGAGCGCATAACCAGATGTATCAAGTGGCACAAATACCGGTAGCAAAATGCGTTATGGGGGGTTCCGTTCACTTGGCCCCTCCCAAATATATTTAAGGATAACCAAAAAACAAGAATGGCGCAAAGATATCTTTTTACGGCGCATTTCAGCGCATACCTGAGAGTACAATTTCGTATGAAAAGATGTTTAAAAAAAAGTAACTTTTAAAAACGTTAAGTTGGCCCCCCCACTTTTTGAAAATTTGTCACGGCTTAACCGTAATGGCGCTAGCTTTAATTCAAGTGGCGCAATTGAGCGCATAACCAAATGTATCAGGTGACCTAGTTACAAGGGACAAAATACGTACTGGGGGGGGCTACGTTCACTTGGCCCCCCCCCCCAAATGTTTTTTCGGATTTCTAAAAAACGATAATGGCGCAAGAGTTATTATCGGTGGCGCATATGAGCGCATAACGAGCGCATTCATTTTAAAATAATACGACTATCAAATATCTCAGTGGGGGGGGGGGGGCCTAGTTAACGGACCCTAATTTACAAAAATAAAGTCGTAATTTTTCTGTAAATATTCGTAGTAAAGTTTTTTTCAGTCCACAACGCAAAATAAAGAAATAGTGGCAGCACTCAGGGCCGATTAGCTACGGAAACACCAACTATTAGAGGACTGAAATGGTCTGTTGTTTATAAAACCAAAATTTAAGACTGAATTCTAGCACCAAATGAATCTACTAAGAATCCCTTTCTTTGAGGATTAACCGGTAATAAAGCAAGCTGCAATCTTCGACTCCCGGCTACCCCCGAAGGAGTGTTTTAATGTTTTTGAGAAAATTACTGATATGTCCCAAATGTGCCCTTATTATTGAAAAAGTTTTTAATAGTCCTCATGAGAGATCGGAAGGACCTCAGCGCATTTTTAGGTGGCAGATCAGTATTCTATTAGCCAATTTTGACTCCACCATCAATAAGATATTGTCGGGGGCTACCATCTCGCTTTGTCGAGATCCACTTCCGACGTACCGTTCACCCGCCATTTTGTTGGATTTCGGTAAATACCCTTAACAAAATAGTATTCATTTTATGGGTCACTTCTCATGGCTCAAGACACGGGCAAGAGAGACCGCCATTCGAGCTTTAAGAAACTTTTTGACGACTGAAGTCAAATATTGTAACGGGGTTTCCCTATACAGAAATTTGAAAGCAGGCAGGGTCTCATTTTAGTGTGTGTGGATGTGTGTATTGTACGCGTTCCGAGCAAGTTGTTTCATGACGTAAGTGTGTATATTATTTAACCGTGGGGAACCAAAAAGGGTATAAGAAATCTAAAGTAGCAATCGCGGTCAGAAACGCAATTTTATTTCAGATGTAAATAGAATAGAATCATATATACTGCTTTACGTATGTATATTCGCAATGAGATATCAACGCCTTTATGGCTCAATGGTAGAGTGTTGGGCTATAAATCCGGAGGTCAGGTGTTCGAACTTGGGTTGAGGTGAATTTTTCATCTGTGGCAGAGATGGGAATTACCTTAGACCAGTTTCGAGCATTCTGCCGGCTACTCCGAATTAGGTTTTCCTACAGTTTTCTGCAGAGGCACCTCTAAAAAGCATTATGCGGGTCACTCTGTAATTGGGCGCAAGCCTGTTGAGGGCCCAGAACAAGAGAGGGATAATAAATAAATAAAAAATAAAAACGCCACGCAGCCACCGCCGTACCGTTGAAAAAAATTTTAGGCACCACGTTCGAGAAAAAAAACATTTTAAATGGCCTACGTGGCTTTTGCAGACCTTGGGGGGAAATTTTATTACGTGTAGAGTTGATTGTCTATACCCATCTATTCTATGCAATGACATGGTTTTTTTAAGTTTACACAGCCCATCGTATACATTCTTCTCTGACCCGGGCTAATTGCCCTAAGGACATTCTTTAGACTCTTTCATATTTCAAACTAACCTTAAGAGATCTTCCGATAACACCGGTGGTCATAACTATACCAGGCGCGAATTCACTTGATACTATATTTTGCAGTCTCATATCCGGATGGATATGACTAAAGTGTTGATGAAGATGTAAGGAGCAATTCTCTGATAGAGGGCGTTCGATGCGGTTTCCTTCACTATCGTACACAGGAGCATTTAGACACCTCCAAGAGCCACCGTGATCATATGTAATCAAAGTAACGACGTGGGCTAAATCCAAATCATTTCGTACTGTAAGTTGGGATGCGATATAGACACCATTTACACCTTTCACCTTATAAACATCAGCAAACACGTCATCAACCCTAAAAAATGTTCAGTAAACCTGCAACCAATTTTATGAACTTACCGGGCAAGCCATGTATTCTGCCAAGTTTTCTTGGGAAAATGACACATTATTCCTTCAAGAGAAAGGTAGAAACGTACGTCATCGTCTTTGTTGAGGTCTTCTGATAAGTACAAATGTGACAATGCGTCTGTATGTCTAACAGCAACTAACACTCTGGTACTGGTAACATCCACAACATAGAAATCTTGACTGTTCAGCCCCGGCGGAACATCAAAAGTACATTTCCTGGGTTTACCCAATTTATGTGAAACAAACAGATCTGATCTATCCTAAAAATGTGCAAATGAACAATTATCTACGATCTTAATTTCATTACGGCCTTACCTCACTATGTTTACTTGTAAAAAAGATGTAATCTCCTTTTGTATAAATCACATCCAGAACATTAGTTGCTAGAAGTAGAGTTTAAATCTTTAGTGTAACTAATGTTACTAGCTACTGTACTATAAAATACAAGTTTGGGCTCTTGGTTTTCATCTCGGCTCCAGGAAAATAAGTTCGCGTCCCCGTCCCACAATCTCCATCTATTCCCAAAATCATCAGTTATCCACAACTGTAAGCGATTTAGTTAAATATAAAATTATAGTATTCGTAGTTACCTGGGACTGTAATTTTTGCACTGCTAGAACCCTGTCGGGAAGAAACTCGTGAAATAAAACGTCGTTCGGTGTAAAATCCAGATCTGTCCGGGTTATGGTTTTCCCATTATCCTTCGTCATGAAAATTACATTGTTGTATACATCAGTAAAAACAATCTAAAAAATCCTCTTCAAATACGCGCATTAAGTGAGCATCCTTACTCTAGACTCGTATTTGGAATAAAAGAAAAAATTATTGATTCTGGCCAAACTTCCATTGTTTAATTTGAATAAATGAGTTTTGTCTTCGTAACTGTCGCCGTAATCATAGGAAATGTATATTCTGTTGGTTGTGTTTGAAGCATTGGATGGTGCTGATGTCGCATTTTGTGTAAGACAAATTATAACTATGCTTCCGTTACCAACCAAATGTACCATAATTTGCTTGTTTGGGTCGTTGAGTTGAGTAATCTGAAACGAAAACAGGTCAGGCATATTCTATAAAGTCTACTTATATCTGTTTTTTTTATTCTATTAAGTGCCCGGGTGGACTCCATAGAAAAATTTAGCAAGTGATTAATTCGTGTTAAACGGTTGAATGTACCACAACATTGTAACACTATTTTCTTGCTGATTGATACTGTTAATTAATCTTCGATTGTTACGTTTTATTTCAATCCTTACGCAATGTAGGTGTTTTCTTTGCAATCCACTAGTTTAGATGTAAATTATTTCTGTAGTAGATTTCTCATTATCTTTGTTCTTTATTTTCGTTGTTGTAATTTCTTATTGCTATAGTTATCAGTGCCGTTGCTATCTCTTCTTTAATTCAGTATTGCGCGTGTATTTCCCCTTAAGTGAAATTTCTGCCACCGAGTTGAGTAGATGTGAATTTTCTCTTGGTAACCATTACTTATATGACTTCGCGTCTGCCTGAAAGGGTTATAGCTTTACCATATTTATCTTTGAAGTGGTTCTCTCTTTCTCTTTGATGTCTTGGTGACTCCATCGAAACGTTTTTACGGATCTGTGATTTGCATCTGAACAATTCGTGGTATGTTACATTATGATGCAACATTATTTTCTCATTTCCTGTTATTTTTAGCGCATTTCCACAAAAATAAAAAAAAAATGCGCTATTGTGGCCACTTTGTCCGTCCGTCCGTCCCCTCGTTTTGCGACGCTACTAGTTCTTTATCTTAAGAGCTATTGTTCTATTTTTTTCGCTATTTGGTTCGTTATGGTGTCGAGTCTTGTACCAAGGAAGGAATTTTTTCTCTACCGCTTACAAAAAAAGTTATTGTAAAAAAAACAAAAAACCGTTTTTTGCATGTTCCATAATTTTACACTTTTGCCGTTTATTAACGATCCTAGAGATCGTTTATAATTTTGCATTGCTATCTGTCGTCTGCCTGTTGGTCTGTCCGTCTGTTCCTTTGTCTGTCTGTCAATCTATCTCTCCGTGTGAACGATAACTTTGTTTAGAAATGTTCGATCGCTTTTACATCTCCGTTAGTTATGAACTGAATTGCATGAAATTCAATATGGGCATAGCTTTAGCCATATATAATAATAATAATAATAATAATACTTTATTAGTGTAGTTTATCACAAGATATTTACACAAGTCAAATTACAATAATAATGGACAGTTATAAGAATTTAATTTCGAAAAATTCATCAATGGAATACAGAGGATTACTTATCAGTGTTCCTTTTATGCGTTTTTTAAATAAGTTTGTGTTCAGACTCTGTATATGCTTAGGTATCTTGTTGTAAAACCTTGCAGCATAATAATTAGGTCCATATTTTGAAGTGGATAGCCTCAGAAAGTCATTACACAAGTTCTCACTGTTCCGGGTATTGTATGCATGAAAGTCCTTATGAGTGTTAAAACACTGTAAGTTAGCTTTCGCATAGCATAGACACGAATATACATATAATGAATAAAATGTCATTATACCAAATTCTATAAACATAGGCTTACAATTCGCTCTATAAGGTATTCTTGCTATAATACGGATAGCTCTCCTCTGCAGCGAAAACACACTTTTGGCAGTAGGAGCATGGCCCCAAATAGCAATGCCGTATGCCATATGCGACTGACAAAGGGCGAAGTACGCAATCCTTAGCACATTAGGGGATACATAGTTCGCTAAGTTACGTAGCGCAAAGATGTTGCCTGCTAACTTAGTCGAGACATAATTCACATGCTCATTCCAGCGTAGTTTGCAGTCCATACGCATACCTAGGAATATGCTATTATGACTAAATTTACCAGTGGTCGTAAACGGTCTAAGTGCAAAAATAGAGGTCTGAGTTTTATTACGATTCAACGTTAAGTCATTAGCGGCGAACCACATTTCGGCATCGTTAATTGCAAGTGAACTCTTGGAAATAGCATCGTCTAAACTATGACTGGACACATTCAATGTAGTGTCGTCGGCAAAAAATATAGAAAGTGCTCTACTAGAGTAATACGGCATATTGTTAATGTATATAAGAAACAGGAGCGGTCCTAGGACGGAACCTTGGGGAACTCCTTGTCTTAAATGAGCCAAATTGGATATTGAATTGCCAATTTTTACTGCTTGCGTCCTATTGAAGAGGTAGGATTGTATAAGTTTAATCGCCATATTGTTTAAACCATATTTTTTAAGTTTCTGTAGCAAGACATTGTGATTAACACAGTCAAACGCCTTGCTCAGGTCACAAAAGGCTGAAACAGCATATTTACCTTGCTCGAAACACAAAACGGCGTTATTGACAAATGTAATCAGTGCGTCGGTTGTCGCTTTTCCATTGCGGAACCCGTACTGATTCGTGTAGAAGAGCTTGTTCGTTTCAAAATAGTGTCGTAGACGTTTTTCGACAATGCGTTCAAATACCTTGGAAAAAATAGGCAGGAGTGAAATGGGCCTATAATTTGACATATCTTCAGCGTTGCCTTTTTTGAATAGGGGTAAAACAAGTGCCACCTTTAGGCAGTCAGGAAAGGTACCGGAACGTATGCAACCATTTATCAACAATGTTAGCGGACTGATAAACATGTTGATATTTCTTTTTATTAGGTACGAGTTCATCCCATAGATGTCTTTTGCTCTACTCGCCGATAATGATGTTATCGCGTCTCTGACGTCATTAGGGGTAACATAGTCAAAACTTAGAGAGATATTGTTTGGTACGATAATATTAAACATAGAAAGGGGTTCATTTATATGAACACTATTGTGGGATAATCGGCCCTATGCTGTATCACTATCGCTAAGAATAACGATATCGTTATGCGGCGTTACCATAATTTTTTAAAAATCAGTATGCTGTATCACTCATAAAAAGAGTGGGATAACGACTATCGTAATTCTCTATCGTTATTTTGCAAACATAACCAGAGAAACTTAACGGTAGGGTGCATGCTATCCGTTTGGCGCGTAACGGTCCTGTCATCGATTCGTTCGGAGTTTAAGGGGATGTTAAAGAGAAAGAAAATGAATAATTGCAAGGATTTTTGCAAGTAGCTTTGTTCGAGCAATTGGAAAATGTAATAGGGAGGTGAGTTCTGTGCCTTTTAATACTCGTAGATTATGTTTTTATTGAGACATGAGGAAAACATCCAATGAAGAATTTTACGAGACAACAGTGATCAGTTTCAGCTGGGTGAAATTGATTTTCAAAAAGATTTTCGTTTATCAAGAAAATCTGTTTGAATGTGCAAATGGTAAGGACTAACAGCAGCATGTTTCAATGAAAATTTGTTTAACATGCAGATTTGTGATGCGAACATAAAAATCCTGAATTGTAATGCACGGTTTCCAGGATCTACTCACGACTCTGCAATATGGGATATGAGTGCGGTGAAAAGGCACCTGGAAGAAAAGTATTTAACCAATGAGTTACATTCATCTTGGTTAATTGGTGAGTGTGGCTGTTGTGACCTAACAATTTTGCCCTTTTACAAACTTGTATAGGTGATTCAGGATATGCACTGCAGCCATGGTTGTTAACGCCAATAGAAAATGCAGAGGCAGACCCACTTTCACCACAGGGAAGATACACTACACAACACATTTTAGCCAAGAATGTAATAGAACGCTGTTTTGGAGTGTTGAAGCAAAGGTTTAGATGCCTCTTGAAGTACAGAGTTCTTCATTACTCCCCTGACAGATTTGCGAAAATTGTGTGGTGCTGTGCATTGTGCAATACTCCATAATATTGCGATACAGGAGAACTTACCACCACTCGAGGATAATGAAGGTGATGTAGATATACCTCCACAGAATATGAGAGAAAATGAAGGTATTTGTACCTAATCCTCTAAAAAAAAACAAACTGTTGTATGGCCTCTTATTATTCTCTTCGACATTCGCCATGTCGTGAAAAACCAACTAGGTAGGTACATTTACAATTAATAATAATAATTTTAAAGAAACGTCTGCATTTCCAAATCTGGCGGGTATTTGTTTTAAGATTAAGCGCCCTCTTATATTTGATCGCTGTGGATTTCACTCTTACACGCACTGCCGTTGCGCAGCGTTCTTTGTTTTCTAGAATGCGACACTTTTTTCCGAAATAGCCACTGCGAGATACCGGACAACGTAACGATACCGTTAAAATATTGATACAGCATATCGCGTTTATCGATAGTCGTTGTGGTCATCATAACCTTTGATCGTTAAACTGCGATAACGATTGATCGTATAGAATAACGAGAGTGATACAGCATAGGGTTGAATATCTCGTTCGGTATATTAACAAAATATTGGTTCCATTGGTCAGCAGAGTATAGATCAGTAATAACCTTAGATTGGCCTTTTTTTGCATTAATAATATCCCAAACCATCTTTGATTTGTTACTAGCATTAGTAATGACGTTATCATTTGAATGTATTCGGGCAATACGAACTGCAGCTCGGTAAGCACTTCTGTAGCGAGTATAGGCCGATTTTAAGCCAATCGAACCTGCCAAAGTGTACATTTCATGTAGTAGTTTGAGCGTGCTTCTCACTAGTTTTAATTCTGGCGTAAACCATGAGATACCACTGTCCCAGCGTTTACTTTTAGTTATCCTAATAGGAAAACATTCCATAAAAATTGCGACAATATGATCTATAAATTTAGAGAATTTATCGTCACTGAAAGTGTGATCATATAAGTAATTAAAGTAATACGCAATGCCAAAAGTTGAATCGAATCGATTCAAAATTCACAGTGCCCTTTTCGCATCTCGACCATTTATAAACCGAATTGCAAACTTTTTTACTTATGAAAGTATTTGAATGAAATTTGATACATAGGCACTTGGAATAAAGGAAAATCAAACGCAAATTTCAAAATTTGGTTTTGCGCATGCGCAGTGCCAACTTTTTTTATTTATGGAAGAATTTAAACGAAATTTGATACATAAGCACTTCGAATAAAGGAAAATCAAACGCCAATTTCAAAATTTGGTTTTGCGCATGCGCAGTGCCAACTTTTTTATTTATGGAAGAATTTTAATGAAATGTGATACA